AAAACTTAAAGAAATTTTGCAGAACTATATTGTTTAGTGACAAGCCATTCAAAAGAATGTATCCGCTATGTCGGAGGTACATTGTCCAAATATTACCAAAAAGTAATAAAGGATATTGAGACTATATCGTTTTGCGGCTTGCGGCAAGTCTTATAAAAGGATATATCGGCTATACCGGGGATATTTAAAACAATGCATGCCCTAGATACTACACCAGAACGCTAGTATATATATTAAAAAAATGGTGTCGGGGAGATTCTTTACTTGGTGTTTTATTTATTGCTGAAAAACTTGATAAATTGAGCTGTTTATGATTGCTGGTACAACTTTATCGATGTGAATATGATTAGTTAAGGAATTTATCGGTTATCAGGTAAGTGGAATAACAGCTTGCATTCTACATGATATTTAATGTTTTTTGGTGCATGCTGTATTATGTGTTTTCCTATGTAATTGTACTTATCCTTTGCTGGGATTTTATTGTTTTTTTTAAAACTCTAGTCCTTTATATTTAACAAGACCCTTTAAACAATAGAGTTTTTCTTATGCAGGCAGCGGTGTCTGTATGATGAACACCTCTTGGAGGGATGAACAACATCCATCCTTTATCCATTTCATTTCTTCATTCCTCAGCGCCAACTCATACCGTCTTAACTTCCTCCCTATAGCTCCTGTGATCATTGTTTATCTGTTCTTTTTTTGGATATTCTACCGTGCGTTACATTCTGTCACTTTAGCTAATTGATGGAACATGCAGGATTTCATATTCAACAATGGCGGATTATCAGTGGCATTCATTTTTGTGACGAACTGGAATTGCGATCATGCCTCTGCTGTCTTTGGCAGGTCGCGGATGTTTGCAATGAGTAAGATTTTGTTCATTATGATCTGGTTTTTTCTCACATTACTGGAATATGCAGAATGGAGAAGCTTAGAAGGCAGTTTGGGCATCTCTATGTAGTCGTGTCTGTTCCAACCATGGAACAGAATGATTCCTTTAACCGATCATACTTCAAGTAGGCAATTGAATTGACAACCATTTGGCATTCTCCTGGAGTCGAATGAATTTCTGATATTGGTAATTTTCTCAAGGTATGCTGTGGAGCTTGGTGCCCCAACTTTTGTGCCAGTTCGTGATCCAGAGATGGGATTCGAGAAGATTGTGAAAATAGCACATGCTCGTGGAGGTAACTGTATTTTAGTATCGTTTAAGTGTCCTAAATAACAGCTATTGCATACTAAGATCTTCTCTCAGTGTGCAAGCGGCAAGATGCGGTTTCCATGATGAAACTTGAGGTCAGCTGATGCCCTTGTCCAATTACCGTTGTTTATTTTTTTCATCTTGTTCTTATATCCCCGAGTGATGTTGTATTGTTTACTTGTAAGCGCGAGCAAGCTGTTCAGAGAATGGACTGTTTCCTTAAAGTGGTCACCTCCATACCTGGCATTGACAACCATGATGCAAATGCAGTAATCTATCTAACACATCTCAACTGTTTGCTAATTCATAAAATTCTTTCATATATCAATTATACCCTAGTGAATCTTAATTGCTATTCTGTTCACCACCATGTATCACTTTGTAAGACACTTTGAATTCATGAATTATTCAAGTTCAACCAGCAAGAATGCTTTCTTTTTGTTATAGTTTGTAGCGACAGAGTAATCTCTGCTGGAATGAGCTTGCAATTCTATCCTTTATAGCTGCCTTGTGTTCTGGAATGAGCTTGCACTTTTATCCTTTATAGCTGCCTTGTGTTTTTTCCCTTAGAACTGCCTTTTGGTTATAATCTCTTAGCATTAGAAACTTTGCTGGAATGAACTTTCTGTATTATCCTTTAGAACTGCCTTTAGTTCACTTGAATTTTTACTTGCTCATATTTGGTTGTATGTTCACTTTTGAGGCTTCATTGGGCTATGAAATATATTCTGATCTCTAGTACCTGTTTTTACCTTGGTTAGCTTGCACAAGCGATAGGTTCAGTTGAAGACATAGCCAAAGCATCCAAGGGCTTTATTCTGGAGAGCACAGACCTTTCAATGGATAAAGCGGAAATGATAGTAAGGTTTTTCAGAGACCCAAACTATTATCTGAGTCCCAAGATCAATTGACAGTAGAGGTAAGCATGTCCTTTTGTCTTGGAGAACCTTCTTTCTGAATACAGCTTGCTAATACAATTGCTTGATTTGCATTACGGTGGGGAAAATATTAATGATTCTGTGATCTTGATAATTACAAGAACATGCTTCTATTTAGAAGGGCTAATTCCGGGCCAATTAAAATATTTTGGACAAAGAGTCTGAAACTAGAACATAAAGTTGATGTTGGAAATTATGGTTAAATCTGGAATTAAACAGTGAAGGATGATGTGCAGTTATTTTAAACTTTTTCAATTAACTGTTGTGCGTTTGTGAAACGCTGTGCTTAAAGCAATATTTGGCCTACTCCGGTGCAAGGATCCCAAGACCAAACTGCTTCCAGGAACAGTAGTACAGTACTCTGGTGTGCACCAACTCAGTACTGTCAAGATCTCCTCGATCTGTAAGACCTTTCGGTCAAGGAAAAAGATCTCTTCGATCTCAGAACCTTTCGGTTTAAAAAACCTTTCGGTTTAAAAAACCTTTCGGTTTCAGGGTTCCTGCGGGCATAGTTTCTGCAGCAGCACAACAACAGCAACAACAACGTCGATCCGACGTTCGTTTTCCAAGCTCGCGTGTGTATACCGACGTTCGTATTCTATACTGATGTTCGTATTCCACGCTCGCGAGAAAGTTTCCAGCAGCAACCAAGAGCTGCTCAAGGACGCTATTTATAGGTCTCTAAGGCCAGTTCAAGAGTCACTAGCAATTAATGTGACTGTTACAATTCTTAATGGCAATTAAGATTGTAACATCAATACATTAAATTGCTCTTAATGCTGTTGTAACTGCTGCATGTAGTAACTGCTGAATACGGGACAATCAATGGACGCGTTGCTACGAAACACGAGGATCACGTCTCAGCAAATCAGACGAACCTCGTTTGATAAACGAACGTCGTCAAACAGACGAACCTCGTATGACAGACGAACCTCGTCGAACGAGCGAACATAGTCAAACAGGCGAACCTCGTATGACATACGAACCTCGTCGATTGAGCGAACCTCGTATGACAGACGAACCTCGTCAAACAAACGAACCTCGTATGATAGACGAACCTCATCGAATAAACGAACATCGTCAAACAGGCGAACCTCGTATGATAGATGAACCTCATCGCACGAGCGAACCTTGTCAAACTACGAGAACACTAGGGTCACCCTCGTGCGAATACGTAGCTCGTCTGCATGCTGCGAAGCAGCCTGCGAGGCAACCTTCGTGGCGATCATAGTGGCAGCCAACGTGGCGCCAAACAGCATCACCTTGCCCCGATGCCTCCGTACGAAGTGCAAAGTACGTCTAACAAAGCACCACTTAGCGCCTCAGCCCGATTAGCCCCGATCCCCGGCCCATTGGCCTACGGCCCACGACCCACGACCCACGACCCACTAGAACTTATGAGGGATTAATCCAAATAAAACACTTCTCGGCTTGCCGTTGGCAAGCCTCGAATAAGGAACCTTTTAAAACATCAAAACATAAACTTTCCACTAGGCTACTAAGCATTTATGAAAAGTACTTGTAGTTAATATATATAGTTTGAAAACTCATTTTGGATAGCAGTTTTAACCAAAAAATCCAACAGTTGATTGGGTTTATAGTTCTCTAGCAGTATTACATAAAAAATAATAAGTTATATGTGTCCTGATGGCTGTCACGGTCTGCGGCGTGGTCCGATCCAAAGAACAGGATAAATCTCTGGAGCTTTTACTTTACAACTGTGATTGAGATTATGAGTCTTTATGGTTATCCAGTAAATGCATATAAAATACCGTCGATACAGATAAGTTAGCATTGTGGCATATGAGATGGGTGGTCAATATGGGTGCATTTAGTCCGGATACGGTTCAGATACGAGGCTTACCATATTCATATCCGCTTACCCATCTCAGATACGGATATGGATAATGATTTATTTAGGTAAGAAAAATTCATAACCATATCCGCTAAAATCGGATATGGTTACAGATATACATGCGGATATATAGGCGGACATGCATGCAGATATGAAACGGATATGAGAAAAACTAGATATTATTGAGAAAAACATAGTTCATGTGATACAAGGGAGTTCGTTAATATGTTTATTATAATTAAAAAGTTAAGATTATATATCTTGATCATCAAAATTAACCACAAATCCATAATCTAAGAATCGAAACTATCGTAAGAGTATGACTAATATGTATTTGGATATTTTGGATACAAATATGGATATTTCTCTATAAAACTATATCCGTAACCATATCCTATTGGTTATAGATTTGAGTAACCATATTTGTATATTAACGGATATGATTACAAATATTTTCTCGGATACGGATACGGTTTAGCACCCATAGTGGTCAACAATGTAAATACCACTGGGTTGTATATACCTTAAAACAGTGTCAAGAGGACCTTTTTGCTGATTTACTCATAGCTGTATAATTTTCTACAAAGAGGGTATGTCTAAACTGGACTGTCTATTTATAAATTGCTTTTAACTTCTATATCTTGCTTGTATGTTTTCATGCAAATAAGATATTAAGGTATATGTATAGTAATATTAGAATGACATCTGGAACGTCATTCCAGTTGATGTTAAGGTAAGACAGCTCTCTTTGTCCATCACTCTTGGTGGAGAGCAAGGAAAAAGACCCACGTATGGACCTATCATTTCTGATGTGTGTTACTTTACTGTGAAAGGTTGCTTACAGAATTTTGTTGGGGTATTTAAGGAGAATAAACAGTGTGTAGAACTCCCTCCACACACTGCCCTACTCCTTTAAAAAAACTTTTGCCTGCGCTATCGCCCGGGGGGGCGGGGGGGGGGGCGGGGCAATCATCTGCAACGGGAAAAAAAGCGATCAGCAGGGTGGTTATTGTAACCAATATTATATCTTGTAGATTGAGACACCAAGCATGAGAGTATGAAATGATGTACCCGTAACTTGTGTGAACTGTGAGCAGCTGGAGGAGGAACATGAGAATTACATTAAAGCTTGCATTAAGCGTTTCTCTTCTACGTGAGTTGTTAGGAGGCATCTGGTGTATTTTGTTTTTGCAATATTGTTTAGTCTGATCAGAGGCTCATAATAGGATAAAATATATGCAGAGAGGTACTGGATCGAGCAGGATAAAACAAAGGTAGAAGTAGAACATACAAATAGATATTTAGCAAAGAGAGGAAAAAATGGTCATTTTTAATGTTGACATTCAGGACATAGCTAAAAGTGGACAAATTTTCAAAACAGTCCTCTTTGGACTTTTATTCTAAAAAAAGACCTATTTTGAACTTATTTTCAAAAATCGACCTGGTTTCAGCCTTGGCGTTGAAACCAGGTCAGTTTTTGAAAATATTTTTTCGAAACTTCATGGGAAGTTTAGCAGATTTTTTAACTACTAAAACTTCACGGGAGTTCAACTCCTGTGAAGTTTTATTCCTTAAACAGACTTCATGGGAGTTCAACTATCGTAAAGTTTTATTGGTTAAACAAACTTCACGGGAGTTCAATTCCCGTGAAGTTTGTTACAGTGCAAAAACTCCACGGGAGTTCAACTTCCGTGGAGTTTCAGTCAAATTTTTCAGAGAATTGCTCTCTGAAAAATTAAACCTGTAACTCCACGGGAATTAAACTCCCGTGGAGTTGCAGGTTTTATAAAACGTACACAGCAGCCTGTGCATGTTATGTATATACGTAACGTAACTCATATACGTTATATTTACCTGTTAACAATAATTGATCTCATATACACTAAATTGCAATAATATATACATAATTCAACCATGAATTAAACACGAATCAAACAATATTCACAAAGAGTACATATATAAACAATAATTGATCCACAAAAGTATAGTATTTAAAAATTCATAAAAGTTATAAAATTTAACAAAATAAGCTCACATACAACCTAAAATAGCTCCTCTCCTTCCTCTCCCTCTCTTCCCTTTCCCCATCACTCTTCCCTGCCCCCTGCGTTCCTGTTGATGAGTCTCGATTATCTGAGTATCCGACTGTGTATGAGGCTGAGAAACACTGGCTCCATCAGCATACGAAGTGCCGGCTCCATCAGCATGAGAAATGCCGACTTCATTGTCATGTGGCCGTCGTCGTCACGTGTACGCTTGCCCAAATGACCGAGACCTGTTCTCACGGCTTACAAACTCGTCGACGTGATTCTTATGAAACACCTGTGCTATTGTCTTCTTGATCCTGCTTGAAGACCCCTAACGCCACCGAATCCTGAATCTCAGGCATGTGCGCATCAATATCAGCTTTAATGCTATCAAAAACACGGACCTACGAGGTAAACAATTTATTAAGTACCATCTCAATAAAAAATGTTATAATTTAGTTTAAAAACTTACATAATCTCTCTTGATCATCCCACTAGGGATGTAATTATCTATTGGTGGGCGTGACATGTGTCCAGCTGATGGCTGTGGGTCACGCATGATCCATCTACGTGTGATATCCTAATACCAACGCATATACGCTGTATAGTCAATAGTTGTCTCTTGTATCCTGTATGAAATCCCACCTGTGAGTCCACCTGTCTATGTAGGTCGCACGGACTACGACCCAATCAGTACGGTGCAATGTAGATTGTCGTTGACGATCGATCTGCTCGACAGGCTCTAACACATGCTGAGAGAGCAGAAATTACCATAGCACACGGTCGGGGACATGCATCTCCACAATCTCCCAACAGATCAATGAGATTCTGCTCTCCATAAGTCGGGACTATCTCAACAGATAGGTGCAAGAGTATGCATATCGAGGGGGGGGGGGGTGATTAGTGTCAAGAGGCTATAATTATGCAATAAAATAAAGACAAGCAAACCACAATATTCTAATGCAATCAAAATAGAGGAGATAGGGTTAGGAATCGTTATCCTGTGACGCGCGATATGTTAACGAGGTTCGGTCCGCTGACCTACGTCTCCCCACTCTCGAGGAGAAATCCACTACACAACCTGGTTTGGAAGCCGAAA